GTTTCATAACTTTTGTGGACATAAATTGCAGTTTTTGCATACTGTTAGAAAAAATCTCTGAAATAATTACTCAGGAGTCCAGGATGATGTTTGCCAAAAATGTATTAAAAATACTTGCAAAGAGAGATAAAATGGCCCTTACATCCAAATCAACGTCATCCTCCAAAATTCATCACGGTCTGTCTTTACAATAGCATGGGCAAAAACCTCTCTGGAATTAACACAGAGGTACAAATATTTAGAGATTCAAGTGTCCAAGAAGGACGTTTTAACCCATCTGCAGTTATTGTACATTTCCACCAGCTGGCAGACACTCATCATAATTTTGGCTGTCTGGCTGAAAAGTATGTGTTTGTTTAATTTAGGGCTGCAACTATCGATTATTTCAATAATCGATTCATCGGCCGATTATTTTTTTTGATTAATCGATGAATCGGCAAAAAAACCCCACAACATTTTAATTTTCACCCCTTTATTCCAAAATTGAACATTTGCCTGACATAGCAATTCACACAAAAAACAGGTTGCTATTTGACTATTCTGTTAGTAAAATATTGAATAAAAAAAGTAAAAGTTTGTGAAATAGTTTAAAAAACAAATGTACACAAAAATATATACAAATGTATCTTTATACCTGCACAATATGTAGCTACTTTGTAAAATGTGTCATTGAGAGAAGAGTGTAACCTGGATTAAAAGTGTGGTTCATTGTAGTGAAGCCTTCTTCAACCATCGACAGAGGACTCATGTCAGTGACGATCATTTAAGGATGATTTCAGTGAAGACAGCTGCTGCTGTGGTGTCCATGATGTCTGTCCATCATGAATGCTGTTGTTGTTTGTTGTTGTTTTGTGGAATGAGAGAGTTGATATGTATTATATCATAATTTACAGCAACTCAAGAAATGCCTTGTTTCACTTACAGTGTTAGGTTCAGGCAAAAGTAGCTTAAAGAGCATTTAAACACACAGACACACACACACACACACACACATATATATATAAAATACTTAACTACACACATTTGAGTAGATGTAATAAATTACTTTAATTCCTGTTTAAATGCAATTCATCCTGCCATACCTGCAGTGTCTTCAGACTTTGCCAGCAAATTAAAAGTTGAAGCTTAATCATTAAATTATTATCTTTGTGTTCGATTTATTTATAAATCACATTTAAACACTGCTTGTACCAATTAAATTAAATAAAAAGTAACACACGTGTTCTCTATCAGCGCCATTAATCAGATAAACAAACAGCTTCATCTACCAGAGACTGACGTTACGTTTTCTCTCTTGAAACAGAACAATGTGTTAAATTGTAGAGACTCACCTGCAACACATGACGAGTTGTATCAGCTGCAGCTCCTTCCTCCTCCTCATGACTACAACATTTTTACGTTTATCAGCGTGGTTCTCCCGTGTCGTGTCGGCGATTTTCAAAGTGGCATGTTTCTCAGTTTTTATCTTTGTGAAGTTCTCCCACACTTTGGAGGACTTGGGTCGAACAGTTTTCTCTGCGTCGGTCATTTGTAAAATTTACTTATTTTCCTTTGAAAACAGACTCTGCTTTTCTCCCCACTCGCTCTGTTCAACTCGCGCTGCAGAGTTTTTTTTTTTCCAAACTTTATTCAGTCTGTCAGCATTGACAATGAACTGCCTGTAAACAAAACGAAACGACTCCGCAGCGCCGTGAAAGACACATAATCGCGCGACACAACAAATCGATAATGAAATTCGTTGCCAACGCTTTTAATCATCGATTTTTATCGATTTTATCGATTCGTTATTGCAGCCCTAATAATAATACCCACAATAATAATAATCCATCCATCCATTATCTTTTATCCGCTTCTTCCATTTTGGGTCATGGGGGCCGCCGGTGCCCATGGCCAGCAATCACTGTGCGAGGGGCGGGGGACCACCTGGATGGGTCACCAGTCCATCACAGGGCCACATAGAGACAAACGAGATGAACAACCATTCAGTCTCTTACTCTCACCTAGTGACAATTTAGAGTTAACAATCAGCCTAACATGCATGTTAGAGAAAACCCACGCATGCACGGAGAAAACATGCAAACTCCACCCAGAAAGGCACCCAGACACGGAATTGAACCAGAGTAACCTGCTCGATGAGAGGCAGCAGCTCTACCAGTTGCGCCACCGTGCTGCCTAATAATAATAATAATATTATGGTTATAATAATAACCATATATAATTTTTTTATTTATTATTATTATTATTATTATTATTATTATTATTATTATTATTATTAGGGGTAGTAATAGTAGAATTAATATTATTTAATGATAAAAAAAACATTACTCTGTATTTATGAAATCATCAATGTTGTCATATCTAAACTTTTAATTCAACTTTAAACTTTTAATTTGCTACTTCAGCTTGTTAAGAATTCAGAAAAATAAAATACTTTTGCTAAAAGTTAAGCAATAAAATAGTTCTTCAACCTTAACGGATTAAAAAAAATAAATCATTCAACTCTGCATTTCTGTGACATTTTTGTAGAAAATGTTTGTTTTTGATCTTTCCTGAGAGCTTTGTTGCTAGGTAACATGAAACAGGCCAAATGTTCCATGTTGATATCTGTAGTGTTCATCTGTAGGCGGAGCTTAAGTCAGTCCTTTGATGATGTGTCATGATGATGTCATAGAACAAATGTTATATATACAGGCTGGACTTTGAGTTCTAGACAGTTCTGTTAGAGAAGCAGAGTGAACGCATCTTGACATTATTGTTCTTACGGCGCATAAACGGTTCGTTTTATCTTATTGAAGAAAAGCGTTTAATCGTAGCAACAAAAAGAACAATGTCTTCCCACAACCCAAGAGGAGATCGTGTATTTATCAACTCCCGTTTTAAACGAGGGGTTGACCACACGCAGTCTGCTGAATCAACTGTAAATGTTGATAATTCAGAAGAAGCCATGTCTGCGGTGATGGATCCAAAGAATTTTCCAGCTCTGCCAGGAAGAGAGCCTGCATGTTTAGAGGCAAGCAGCTCGGTCGACGTTACCCAACATCAGTCGACACAACCTAAAGAAAGGAAAATCAGCCGG